AAAAAAAAAAAAACAAACAAACGGAGCTGATGAAACTCTTAAAATGCCAAACCCTTCTGAAACCCACAGAACCTAAACCCTAGCTGTTGCTGTTTCAATAACTTCTTCTTACCATTACTATTACTATGACAGCTCATGGAACGAGGTGAAAGCCAAAAGAACGCCTCGAGGCTTCGCTGCACGTTCCGCACGAGCCCTGGGCGCCAAAACTTAGTTCGCGATGCTATTTATTGGATCTAGGGTATAGGGTTCTGGGCCACTTAGGGTTTAGGATTTGGGGTTAAGGGCCATTTAAGGGTTTAGGGTTTAGGGTTCTTATGCCCCTGCGAACTCTGTTGCAGACGGCGGGTCTTTGGAAATGGTTTGAGGGGTTCATGAGAGTGTTCATGGAGTTTCGGGCTTAATTTGCCCTCTGTTTCTCGTGTTTTCTGAAACAGCTGTTGCGACCTTAGGCTTACAGGGTCTTTTGTCGGGTATATATGGCTTTGGGCTTGGTGCACTTTTTCGGATTTTTCTGTCGCAGTTTGGAGCTTAATTAAGGGCTCCACCAAGCTTCCAATTGCATGGTGAACGTAGACTCCCTGGCTCCAGTGATCTCAGCCCAGCACCAACTTCAGGCCCTTGCTGATTTTCTTTGAGACTCCAAGAAGTCCGTACACGCCGTAAACCCTGCAAGCCCTAAAGCACTGGGTTGAGGGTTAAGGGTTTAGGGGTTTAGGGCCTATAGGGTTTAGGGTTTAGCAACCTAAACTCTAGGCTCCGGGTCCTGCTTTCTGCTCTGCAGACTTGGCTTCTGCCTGTCAAGTCGGGGTCTCGCGTCTGAGTCTGAAGTGGCTTTGCACGGTAGATCGACTTGACAGGGAGATTCTGAAAGTAGGCGTATCTCGGGCGTGAAACTCGCCCCGTTGGTACAAGCAGCCAAACTAGGCTCCTTATCTTCTTTCCGCATGTTTCGGCAGCAACTTGGGGAGCCTGGTACAGTTGCCGTTTGGCAGCATCTGCGGCTCGTGTCGAGTTGTCGACCTGCTGCCAAGGTTCACGGCAACACTGGCAGAGGCCAAGGCTTGCAAAGTTTCAGAAGGCATGCGGTTGTCTCTACTTGCCCGCCTTGATCTGAGCGTGCCTTGCAACCTGCTGCACCTGCGTCTCCAGCTGTCTGTGAGAGTGCCTGCCATGGCGGCAAGGGGCCAAACCGTCTGCCAAGCGAATCTTGGGCTCCAGCAGCTTCACCGCTTGCTCTTGCTGCTTTGAAGCCGAAAGGAGCCTGGAAGCGAATCCCAGCGCAGGGACCCAAAGTGTCAGTGAGTGAAGGTCAAGGGTACTTTTTTTTCTAAGCACGTGGCTCCTGGCTCTTCTGAACGCGATCCCCGGTTACACCATGGATGGTGGCCTCAATCGATGGCCCCCGGAGTGCACTTCGATGCATACGATAGGTGTGACCCGGTAGGTTCGTGGCTGTTCTGTTCTCGGCTGCCTCCTTCACACTGCTCACATACTCCTTCTCCTGCATGTCTGAGAGCGAGCTGCATGAACAACTTCTGCTCTGAACTCTCGAACTCACACGGTCGATACGTTCAAAATTTCAGTTCTGTATGATTGGTCACACGTGCCAACCGTGGCTTCCCACGAGCTCCCGCTGCAGGCTGTTTTCGGCCCACTTTTCAGCCACATCGGCTTGTGCCTGCCACATGAGCACGGCTTCCGCCGTAAGTTCGGACTAGTTGGGAGAGCCGGGCCCGCTAAGAAATCCCTCATGCAGAAGCTGAACAAGAAGACACGAAGCAGTGAAGCTCCCATCCCCGCCTCCCACTGCTCCGTGTGGCTACGCCTGAGTACCACAAACTTTCTGCTGTGACTGCGCCTGCCAGCCGTAAGGCCCGAACGCAGTGAGCGCTCTTTTGCCAGCCCTCACCAAGGCCTGGGATTCATGAACATCGTCCACAGAAAAAGCTGGCGAGCAGTGAGGCCCAGAGCCTGGTGGCTTCCGTTCGTGCTGTGGAAGCCTTGTGCCTAGCGTAACGTCTCGGCTCTCTTTGCTTCGCCCCCTATGCTTTTTTAAAACCCTGCAGGGCCTGAGCAGCTCGAAGCTGGCTATGCACTTTCTGCCGGACCTGGGTCATCTGCACAAAAAATTACCATTGCACAACATGCCGGGTCCTCCTTGGACCCCTGCCTGCCGCATCTCAGTCAACACCTGCTTTGTTGCAGCCCTCTCTTCTTGCGCCTGCTTGCACAAACAATGGTTTGCATCGCGGGGCTGTGCCGACAACGAACTCTGGCCAAGGTGTTGCTCCCCAGACTGCTTAGCAAAAGGATCCTGGCTGTTGCAGAGGCCTAGTTCACTTCGGCTGCAGTTGGAAACTGCAAACGACGAATCGAACCTTGAAACTCAGAATACTCTTCGAACCTACCGCCTCTGCCCTACGCGCACACTCATGGCGATAGAACTGATAGAACCACCTATGTTACTTGTCGCAGGTGAAACCACTGGAGTTTCGTACTAACTACTAGCGATGGACTTGGTTGAAGGGGTTCTCTGCGACGAACGTAGGGTACGAACAAGAGCAGCAGGTTCATGAACTACCCCTCTCGACGAATACATAGAAAAACAACAACACCCAAACTGAAGTAGGCGGCGGCTGCAGTGAGCAGCTTCTAATCCCTAATATCCCGAAAAACTTTGCACCTTAAAGCCTAAAACCCCGAAAACCCCTGAAATTCGCCCCAAACGCCTTGTTGCGGTGCTCAACGGCTGCTTCCCGCAATCTCCGATCCTCCTCATGGCGTGAACGCTCCAGAGCCTCACAGATGGTTTCTTCAGGGCTTTACTCTTATTTTTTTCATCATCATTATTAAGATTAATTACCGTTGACATTGGTATTACTATTGCTGTTTGTCGTTATGATTATCATCATTTTTATGGTTCTTGCTAGTGTTATCATTTCTTTATGCTTATGATTGTTATTTTTACCAATGTCAACGAGGTGTCCTGGGGAAGCGGATGTGTGAATCGTTCCCCGATCGGCCTGAACCAATGTCAAAACGTAATTACACAGGACAATTGTCAGCACATTTCCTGCAAGAACCCGCGCGCCAAACGTATTGATGGCTTGCTATTGTTTCCTACCTTCCGAAAGTGGGGGGTGGCTGCTTCTTGTGGGATGGCAGTCTTGCCGCACACCTCAAACTGTTCTTTCCAAAAATCCAGCAGTGGCTTCGAAAAGCGCTGAAACCACACACAGATCAGCCGAGAACTTGACATTGCAATATCCAATTCATTTCTGTCATCTGAAGCTCGATGCCAGATCGGCAGAACCCTGTTTTGCATGAACGTGTTTAGATGCCAGTCTTGGTTCCCGTTGTCCCAAAACACGCGCCGATAAGTCTGGCAATCTGTAGGCTTGAAATCTGCTTGGTCAGCTACAACGGGCTCGTGCGTGCATAATCTCAGAAAGCGAGAACCTTTATGAAAGGCCATCAAAGATCCCTCGTGTCTGTCGTATAAGATAGCCTGCCAGCGAGAAACAGCCTAACAACCATAAGCAGCCGACTCACACATCAGCAAGCATAAGTCCAATAAGTAGCAACAACTTGCCAAATTCAAAGGTAATTCATGCAAATCACACAGATTGCCTAAACACAGTGGCGGGAATCTGAGTCTACAACAAACCAAGCCACATATATTCGTTCAAGCTACGCAGGTTGTTTTTGCAACGCCAAACAGCCACTTGTGACGCATGCTGTAAACATGATGTCACTGCGTCGAAAAAAAGGAGGTGGTTACTGCGATCTCTTATGAAACGAAACTGTTGGAAAGATGCCATTTCGTTTTGCGGACCAGCCCGTTCGTGCTATACGACAAACACGATACCAACTTGTTGCGAGTTTCTTATGATACGGCTGGTACGGACTCCGAAACGAGCCATAGCACGCTGTGAAGCTGAGGCGGCCGTTCTTAACTGAAGTTTGTAGCACCACGTACTATGGTTCGTATCATGGTTCGTATCATGGCAAATGTTCGTATCAAGTTCGTATCATACAGCTCTTTTAGTTCGTATTATATAGTACGAACCTTGTCTGGCGTGGCAACGCATGATACGAACTAGTCTGCGAAACGAAGCTGGCTCGTTCCAACAAGCTTTTTTTCATCAAGGATACGTGAAAAGTCTGAGACATCCGCCGTTGGTTTTTGTTTTTTTTTGCATGTGCCTTGCATAACTACATGTGCATGGCTGGCGTTGCAACCGTTGTCGAGCTGACTGGAATCAGTGCCTTGGACGCACAGGCATTCTTCAAACGTAATGAGCATTTTTGGCAAACTTCGCACCGCTGTCATTGGCCTCAACGATTCGGGCTGGCACAAGTTTTTGCTTCGTGTCGGATGTTTGGAAATTCGTGCTCTCTCCATTCATTAGACGAACCCACTTCAGCAGTCGTGTCATGCTGTTCTATTACTACTCGGGCTTGTCGCAAATGTCGACTTCGAAGCGCAAGTTGTCATCTGCGAAACTTGTTGAGACAATGAAATCTCGTTATATTGAGTCGCTCATGGATGCACGGGTGTTTGCACTGGAATAATCGCTATGTGAAACTCTTCATGGACGAACCCACCGTAGCAGACCAAACAAAGTTCAAGACCGCATTGTCGCTGAACTTTGTTTGACATCCGATGCAACACGCACCTCAGCAACACTTTACGCTTGCTGCTGGCAGGTCGACGGTCCAACCACAATCAAGTTGCTTACGATCTAGTGCTGGGTTCGACGCATGCTTAAGAAAAAATGAGAATGTGCGCGCCGCGGCTGTATGACCACAACCCGGAGGTGGTGCGCCGCACTGGAGGTCTTCGGTCGCGAGATTGAACTTGCAATGACGGAAGCTAACAATGACATTGCAGCATCCAACTTTTGGCGGGTTTGTGCTTGCAGGAGGTTACCAGCTTTTTGCAAGAACCGCTCGAGGCAAGCAGGACATGTGCAGCAAGCTGCCATGCCACGAGAAGCAGCCACACAATGGGCACGGCTCCGGAAAGCAGGGGGTAAGCCTTGAATATGATTTCCACGCGACATGCGTGGCGCAACTGACATTCACTGGTTTTTTGACCGTTGTGCAAGCCCATGGCGGAACCATGAACGAAGCCTTTCCCCCAGCACACCTCGTTGACATTAGTAGTTATTTTGTCATTTTGACTTTGCTGGCGGCTCTTTAGGGTTTCAGGTGGAAGCTCTTCCAGCGGATTTATGGAGTTCTAGTTTGGGGCTTTGACAGTTTTGGGCTCAAGGGCTCTATGGAGCTAGGGGCTTGAAAGGTTTTGCGGCTTTCGAACTTGATAGGAGCAATGGCCGACAAGAGACGTGGAACGGGGGCTATGAAAACGAGGGTCCTCGCCACAAGAGTGATGCCTTCTTCTCACACAGGGGCCGCAATTCAACTCACATAACCTACCCACCCACCCAGCATTTCTTGGTGCTTTAGGGCTCTTTTTCAATTTCTGGCTTCAACAATCGCCTGGCGGCTCTCCTCGAGGAGCTTGTCCTTCGAAGAGCAGTCGGCACGGAGTTGTTCAAACGCCTCGACTGGGGGCCCGGGATCTCTCATGAGACTTCTGCCAGAAAAGTCGCAGGACTGACACCCTAAGAGGATACCCTCAACCTCGGAATTCCATAAGCCCTAAACCCTAACTAGGCCCTAAGGTTCCTAAACCCTAACTAGGCCCCAAGGTTCCTAAACCCTGAACCCCAAAGCCCAGATTCCAAGGTTCAGGCCGAGTCGATGGGTTGCGGGGATGCCGAGGATGCCATGGCAAAGCTGCAGAGGGCTCCCCCAAATCAACGGAGCGAATGTCGGGAAGCATCTACGGATTGGTGTAGTGGTTGAGTATAGGTGGATATGCAAACCTCTACTACGTAACCACATCTTTCTACGTAAAATCTGTAAAGCACGCATGTAGAATCGGGTGGTGTTTGATGCCTTTCCTCACTTCCTGAAGGGTTCTCTCTGTACTTGCATTGCTCTTCCGGACATCTCGGATAGAAGTCCAGGCCAGACCGAACCTTGGCAAGGCAAGTGGCCACACTCTTAGCATGAGGCCTCTAAAAACTGTAGGGGGGCTTAGGGTTAGGGTTGGGTACCTTAAGTCAGGATCCTTTTGGGGTTTTAGGGTTTAGGGTTACTGATCATAAGGATCTTACGTACAATTCCGACCCGCACACGCGCTCGAATCAGGCACGGATTCGGCACGTCCAGACGACTAGCACGCAACAGTGACATGAGACATGCGAAGCAGCTGCAAACAGCGGAAGCGACCAACATAAGGACTGTGAACCCCACGACTCAAGCCGAGTTCACACCGTATCTGGCCCAACAGAGATCATGCCTCAGGCCACGGCTACGAAAGGCTCTGACGCACCGGTCTTCGGCACGACTCACGCCCAACGACTCTTTGGAAATCGCGACATGTCGTGGATTTGAGCCGAGATTCACCAACAATGGGTGCACGCTTCAGGAAAAAATGCAGCCAGCGAGCGACACTGAGACAGAGGGAGAGCGAGATGCACATCTGCCACACTGACTGGAGCCTGGCGGTGCATCAACACGCATACTTGCCAAGGTGAAAGATTTGTTCGAGCTGCGACGGCCCCTGCGAAGGTGCATTGCGGGGATCAGGATGTACACCGTACACCACTGGCCACATTCTTGACCAAGACAAAGGCACCGAACTTGTGGTTGGCGACGGGCCTCCCTCTGATCTCATGGGGTCGGGTCTTGCGCAATTGCCCCATGGTTGAGTGACGCCTGAGTTCAATTTTTCCGAGTAGTGCTTCGCATGTCCCCGGTGCGGTCACAGCTTGTGCTGTGAACCCTCCTACTTGCATGCACTTGCAGAGGAGTTGCAGAGATTCATAGTTTTCTAGGAATCAATGCCCTGCTGTAGGATCTGGGCGACTAGCAACCTGCAATCCTCCCCTTCCACCACTCTCTTCGTAGTGGAAAGCTCTTCATTAACCATATCACCTCGGTAATGCCTTTTTCGCGGCGGCTTCTACACCGGGTACGCGCCGTGAGCAGTCTCCGCGACGGGTCTCATTAACACAGTAGCTGCAGTGACCGCGCTACCTGG